TCAGGAACTTTGTGGACAGAAAGTAATTGGGAAATCATGCTGGGAGATAAGAGCAAACATTTTTACATAAAAACTCTTTGAATTGTAATTTGTAGCTGTGTGACAGAAACAGCATTTTGAGGGGTAGCATTAGAGGCTCCAGTTTTAATGGCAGTGTGGAAATGTAATGATCTGTAAGGAAAAAGAAGATAAAAATTTAAAAATTTCTTTGATATTTTAGACACAATTCTCCAAGATCAAATATGATGTAATTTTGTAGTCTTTTTATTTTTTTGTCAAATTAATGAAGAATTAGATGGTACTCCCTTAATAAATGATCAGTTGAGGTGAAGTAATTCCCTTGAAGGGTTGGGAAGGATTAGATTGAGGAAATGCTGAACTGTGATCCATAATGTGTCAAGCACTAACGATTTGGGGATTTTATTCAAGGTCTTCCTGAATCACATGGTTCAACAGGAGGTGCAACCAAATCTGCTAACTTTTAATGCTGTACTGAAGACCCTGAGAAGATGTGGTGGTGTAGGCAGAAGTATGTCTCCATTGGTAATAAAGGAAATGGAAGCACTTGGTATAGGTAAGAGAACCAGAATGGTTATTTTATGCCAGTGCCACCTCCAGAATAGTTTAGCAGCAAACACCACAGTAGTTGCAGGGGAGATGTCCATGGCTTGTGAAAAAACAGCATTTCTCTGCTATGTTCTGACTTCACTGTTTGTTTCCTTTTGTAAGAGAACTGAGAAAGGAAAGTGTCTTAAGTGCCAAGTTATGGCCGCTCAGCAAGCCCCAGTGCCTGAGGATTTCAAACTGAAGCATCATCTTCAGTCTTTCAGTCTTTGTTCAATGTTGATTACTAATTACAATATAGTGGGTGCACTTACCCCCTTACATCAAACAATGAGGCATTTTGGTGCTGCATTCTTAGGTTAGGATTGTGTTTATATTTTTACCTGTACTTCTGGCTGCTCAAGGACAGGTGTTTGTGCAGTGGGGGAGTGTGTCCTGTCCCACAGGCTCTTTCTCCACTGCATCTTTACTGTAGTACTGCTCAGTCTGTTAGCTTCCCATAGAGGAAGCAGATTTACTTTGCAAGCCACCTAAGCCAGTTCAGGTCTACAGATCTCCCATCTCTACAGAAACAAAGGTTTACATCTAGGTGATTTTTTGTGATGTCAAGTAAAAACATTGCAAAAATGAGAAGCATTGGCATAGCTGATTTGGTGTCTTGAAGAGTGTGTTTTGCCCTAGTAACATGCTTGCTGATACACCAAAAATAGATTCATGAGCAGAATGGAAAGCTAGTTATGAAGTATTTTTGCTTTTAATTTAGAGCAGGGAAGCTTAGCATTTTCCCCCCTAGCATATGGTGCTTCAGCTGGTGGTCCACCCTCAGATACCAGCTCTGGTCCAGCGTGAGGGTGGGTGGGAAATGAAATGGTAGAGAAGATGTATGCATGTTGCCTGACTGGGAGGGCTGGAGACTGGATTAGAGCTCAGGCATAAAGCTCAGCCAAGAATGTCAGTGTGATTTCACTGTTTTTGCTTTTTAGAACCTAGCCTTGCAACCTATGATCATCTTCTCACGATATTTTATCGAGGTGGTAAGTGCAGTATCAACTTGTCCATGAAAGTGTCCTGTTGAATACCCACTTTAAGTGCTTTCCAGATGTGATGGGTGAAGGCAGCTGATTTATGGATTTAAAAGACAACTTCTTACGTGTGCAAACCTAACATTTATGCTATTTGATTCTGCTTGGGTGAAGAAGAAGCTGCAGAGTATCATAACCTCCTTTGGGGAGGGAAGAGTCCTTATGTTTTGGGAATGGGCAGAACTGGAAAGAAAGCCCATTTCCTTTCTATTTGTTGCACAAGTTGATAAAACTCAGTGTTTGTGGAGGCTGAATCTGACTAAAGCACATGTGATTTCATAGACTGTGCTACTTAGAGGGAGGAAGTTGCCCAGGGATTCTGTGTTTCTGCAACAGTTCTGTGCCTTGGAGCTGCCTTGAAATACAACTGTTAGAGTCAGGAGCCCAACTCTAGGAGATCCATTAGCCAAAATCTGGGCATGGGAAGAGCATAGACACAGTCGTACCTCCAGTCCTTGTGTTTTAACAAATATGGAGGAACTGCTCTTGAGTCTCTGGGTTTGGTTGCTAGGGTTTTTTCTTGATTTTTATTTTTTTTCCCTTTCTAATTTGCTCTTGTTGATGAAGTGCATTGCTTGTCCCAGCATGACCTTCCAACAGACAAACTTCCAGGCTTGTTGGATTCCTTTCCAGAAAGTACTTCTATCTTTCTGAATCTGCCCTGTTGTGCTCTGGAAATCAGGGAATAGTAGCAATATAGAGCAAATAAAGTTGCAGCTGGTGTGGAGCAGCACAAGTAGGGGCACAGGAGAATCTTGTCACTGGTTTGAAATCATGTTCCTTGTTTCCTTTTCTGTATTTTATTTGCAAACTGATGCTCTTCACTGATGAAGTGCTTATCAAAACTGAGATGTGATGTTGCTTTTCTGTCTGTCCCACAGGTGAACTTAGCCCATCAGGCATCATGTCTGAGGTGTTAGATGATGTTGAAAAGAGGAGCTTCACTCCCCAGGACCCTGACGATGGTATGGATTTGAATGTATCTGACAATCTGCATTCATTAATTTGGGTGAAAAGATACCTGTGAATTTCAAGTAGCTCTGCCCAGCTCAGAAGAATGCATGTGGCTTGCTTGGATCCCTTCTGATACTTTTTGGAGATAAGGAGAATGCCAGTGCTGGGAAGTTGTGCTGTGGACTGGTGCACTGGCTTCTGTGTGGGAGGAGTGTAGCCTGTGTGAAAGAGCATTTGAGTCCCATACAATAACAAACACAAGGCTGTTTTCAAGACTAGTTTAAGGAAGAACGTATTCTGGCAGCTACATAGAATGATACACCTCTGGTGAACATCAGGTTTTTGTCTTAGTGTGGTGTGAGCTCCTATTCTAGTTCTTCCTGATCCTTTCCAGAAAATCATATTAAATAAAGCTTCATGCAAAGCTGAAGATCTGCTCTGTAAAAGGAGGCAGATTCTCAGCATCCCATGTGTCTGGCTCTTTCTGGCATCTCTTGGTACCCAACTTTGCCCTGGGTTGTTCATGAGTCTTTATGTACAGAAGTGAACAAAGCAGCTTCAATCTGAAGACAAGTGTGGCAAAGAGGGTATATGCTAAACACCCAAATGACAGAAAAATGTCTTCTCCAACTTAAAAAGTATTTAGGTAGCTTATTACATCTTGGAAGGGGAAGGGAGGTGTATTGAGCACCTGTCTCTGTTGCACATGTTCTCTTCCACTAGAGTTAATGGAGAAGGTGAGTGACATGGCTGCCTTTCTTTGTAGCCTGCCTGTTAGACAAATACTGCTCTCATGCACCAAGCAGGAGAATGTGGCTTCTGTAAAAGTCAGACAGGTGATCTGCTTGAATCTGTCTCCAGAAGCACAGCAGTGGAGCTGCCTCCACTGGCAAAGCTCCTGACATGCCAGCGTCTCGCATACCAAGTCAGGATCCCTGCAACCTTGTCCAACTGAGCTAACAACTCAAGTTTTCTAACTGAGCTTGTCTCTTGTCCTCTGGGTGGCTGGGTTAATGAGCTGCTGTGTGTCTCCTTGAAAGTTTGAAGCTAACAGACTCTGTTTTCTCCCTTTCAGCCAACTTCTTTGCCACTGCTATGCAAGTGGTAAGTACCTGTTCCCTGCAGTCAGAATTCCTGGGAGCCCTCCAGCTGTTTCAGACTTTCTAGTGGGTTTTCCAGCCTGTCATACAAGGTTTAGCTCTCAACATCTGTTTGCTACCAGCTCACGACCTTTGTGAAAGTGAGTCTAGGAAGGATGTACTAAGTTTTAAGTTCGGTAGCTGTGAAGTCTCCCTGGTTTGTTGCAGTGCTGTGACCTGAAGGACATCAAGCTCGCCTATCAGTTAAACAGGGCAATGGAGAAGGGAGACAACTGGAAGTTCTTGGACATGGATCGGTTAAATGCCTACTGGTGAGTAAAGTGCAGCTTACCTTCATTGCCTTGTGTATTGTCAGTTTAAGTACAAACTAGGATCTGAACACTGCTCAGAAAGGTGCTTTGTTGAACACCGGCTGGATATTCTATGTGCAGTTTGGGGATTAGGTCTCTTTTAAGAACAGTAGTATTTTAGGATTTGTTTTCAGTTTGTGGCCTTGCCTGAATGGAAATAAAGTGTGGAGTATCAGTTTAGCTTAATTCCCATCCAATGGCTATGTCAACCAGTTGTGTTTTCTACAATCCTGTTGTCCACTTAGGATGGCAGCTTAGGAGGTAACACCTCAGACCTAGCTCTATGTGGTGTTGTAGAGAGGTTGCAGTGGAACAGAAGTGTTTAAGGCACCAAACTCCTGTGTAGTTCCACCATTTGACACTGTAATCAATGTCATCTGAAACATCTTTACTAGTGTCATTAAGTGCTGCAGTTTCTGAACATAATAAAGTACTTGGAGGATACTGATTTGAATAAAAGCCTGTTTAGGTGTTGGAACTAGAGATGTTCCAGTAAATTACTTAAAACTAATTATCATCAAAATAAGATGCAGTTTCAGGGGTTGGATGATTTGTATAGTCTGACCTTGTTTAACCTGCAGATAAGTGAAGGGAGATTAATAGCTTGGTGTAGGAACATTTTCCCATTTGGTGCACTGGATCGAGTTTCCAGGCTTGTATTTAGAACTTGCACAAACAACCAAGTTCATTTATTTTACTTCTTAAAGTGGTTCTTAAGCAGAGGTTGCATTTGAGAGATATTCATGTACCTCAAACCTGGTGTCAGGCAGGGGGATTGCATTATTTAGAGATTTTAAAACACAGTAGTCCACTTCTTGCCAATTCTGCCAATTACCTGGTGTCAACATGAGGTTCTCTCATAAAAAATGCTACTGCTTTTGTAATTGTATGGAGTGTTGCAATTATACAGTGAAATGTCCCTGATCTGCAACACCAATATGATCAGAACCATCATTTGTTGATGCTTCTGGATGGTTTGGTTGAATTGGAACATCTTTCCCCTCCTGTAGGTCGAAATTCTTTTCCTTGCTGTGTATGATGGAACAGATCGATGTGGTGTTGAAATGGTACAAAGAAATGTCCGCTTCGGTAAGTGTGTGGCAGGGCAAGTAGCTCCAAAGCTTTCCTGTGGAGAAACAGAACAGTTGCACTTTACTGAAGGGATTCTCTTCCTTCATCAGCTCTTCTATCCATCTCCTAAAAATATATTGGACCTCCTTCAAGCACTGGATGCAGCCAACCACTTGGAAGTGATCCCTTCGGTCTGGGAAGGTTAGTGTAGCCACACGGCTCAACAGGCAGTCTGCTTGGTAAAAGTCAGGAGCAGTGTGACCTGGGAGGCAGTTGGGAAACTTCCCAGTGCTTAGACTAGCCATGAGGAGATGCTTTGCTGTGAGGGATGTTATTCCCTAGTGCAGCTGTGGGGCTGTTGTATGAGAAAGGCAGAACTAGCAGCACAGGCTGTCGGGAGATTATGGCTGTGTCACAGGTAAATGTCAGTGTCTTAGCAATCTGAATGCTTACCAGTGAGAGAGAGTATTGCCTTAAGAGCCCGGGTTTAACTCGTTTACATTCTTTGCCTGTTCTTTGCCCCTTAAGGAGAGGAGACAAGAATGCAAATACAGGCTTCAGCACACAGAAAATATCCCAGTCACTGAGGGGACAGGCAGGTTCTTGTAGGGATCCTTTGCAGAGTGATGGCAGCACTAAGTGGTAGTTACCATTAAAGCGTTCTCTTCTTAACAGGATTTTATTATTAGCATAGAATTTATTAGCACAGGATTTCTGTGTATAAACAGAATACACAGAATCAGTGTAGTACCATTTAAAAAGCAGGGTAGCACAGAATTTTACAGCACCACTTAGCTTACAGTTTTTCATCACCTGGACCCTCTGCAAGTTGGGTCAAATCTTAACACAGGATTGGCTGTGTCAAAAAGTCATAATCTAGTCTTGAAAAACATAAAAGAATACCACCCAGTCCTTCAAGGAAGCAGAGGATGGTGGAGGTGTCCCTGGCCACCAAGGGATCTTGAGTCTTACTGTCCAGCAGCATTTCAGGTCCAGGTTCCCATTGAGGACTTGTAGCTGCTTGGTTTTATAGCAGTGCTCTGTGCTGTTAGTTTCCCTGCATGGTACCTTCAGGGCCTGGTAAGGAGGGGAAAGGGAACTACTATGTCACCCCGAGCACAGAGAAGGGCTGTGTGCATTGCAAGGTGGTTCTAGTTATGTTGAACATATTGCCAGGAGTTGGGAGCAGGGGTTAACTGTTATACCTACTAACTACTGACTTTTTCTAAACAGATATGAAACAGTTGGGGTTTAACAGGAGACAGGACCTGTTGGAAGAGGTGTTGTCTTTGATGAGCAGGGAGCAGCACCCTGAGGAGGTAAGGAAGCTATTGTGGTTTATCCCTGGTGGGCAGCTGAGCACCACCCCTCCCCAGGGGGATGGATGTTGGAGAGAATTGGAGTGGTAAAAATGCAAAGACTCACGGGTTGAGATACAGACAATTTAATAAGTAAAGCTAAAGCTGTGCATGCAAGCAGAGCAAAATCAGGAATTCATTCACTGCTTTCCTTCAGCAGGCAGCTGTTCAACCATCTTTAGGAAGGTAGGGCTCCATCACAAGTAAATGGTTACCATCCCTCTGGATGTCCCCTCCTTCCTTCTCCCAGCTTTTATTGTTGAGCATGACATCCTTTGATATGGAATGTCCCTTTGATCAGTTTGGGTCAGCTGTCTCAGCTTTGTCCACTCCCAGCTCCTTCTGCACCCCCAGCCTGCTCACAGAAAGAGCAGAAAAGGCCTTGACTCGTCAGCACTTCTCAGCAATAACTAAAACATCCCTGTGTTATCAACACACTTATCACAAATCCAGCACCATATGAGCTCCTTTGAAGAAATTTAACTCTATCCTAGCCAAAAGGACAGAAACTCAGTGAAGAGAGTACAGAGGTCTCCCTATTCCTGTGTGCAGCATACAGACTGTATTTAAGTGCTGGATTATTGTCCCTGGTTGGTCTTACAGGTCTGGTTCCACTGCATGTGCCATTACAAATTTCCAGATCTATATGAGTTTATCCAGGCCCTCTAAGCCCTTAGGATTGTCTTCAGCCTGTAGAGAAACCTCAGATCAACACAGCAGAGGATCACTTCTTCACCAGGGGTTGGAAGAGTAATCCAGCCACATCTGTGGGGAAGCACATGGCAGAATTCCAGGATTTTTGCCAAAGATGTCATTGCAGTAACTGGCTTCTCGAGCTTAGGAGGGTTAAATGCTTATGTGTGCTCCAGAGGGACAGCTGTCCCTGCAGAGCTGCCTTGGAGCCTGCCTTGTGGGGACAGTTGTCCTGAGAGAAGTGAGAGGTGTTTCTGCTGTGAATTCCCAAATCTAAATCCCATATGGGGCAGACCTGTTAGGTCCATGGGAGGAATTGCACTGCATGGATGTGTTAATTCTAAAGTTTTGGGGGTTTAATAGCACAATCTTTTCACAGATTCAGCTGGCATTTGCCAAGTGTGCTGAAGACATCAAAGCTGTTCACGAGCAAACAGGGAGGGAGCAGGTCCCCTTGGAATGGACAGGAAGTGCCCTGGGCCATGTTGCTGTGTTATTTTCCAGGGCTGGGAGAACCCAGGATGCTTGGTAGGTGTGTGGCTGTCAGGAGCCCTTGGCTTGCTGACAGTGTAACCCAGGGCTTCATCACAAAAAATCAAAAGGTAGTGACTGCTTGTCTTGGAATGCTGATGCAGACAAAGGGAGGGGAAACATCCTGCTGAGAATGTGATGGGGTTCTTTCCTTCATATTATTGTTCAGTCTTGGCACCAAGTTACAGTTGTCCTAAAAAGGGTTTAGAAGTGAATGTAGCAACTGGGTTAGAGCCTCATACAGCTGCTTCTGGCAAGGCAGGGTTTGATTATCCCTTCACTAAGCACTGCTCATTTCCTACAGCTTCCCATTGTCTGATTTTTTTAGAACTTTGTGGAATTCAAACTGTTAAAAGAGATTAGTTTAAGTAAACTATTACTTAGAATTAAAGCTAATTAAAACTCCAAAGAGAATATTTTTAGAACTCTATGGATGTTAGAATTTACTGCCCTACACACTCAACCAAATACTACTTAAAATCTCTTAGCCTCCAATTTCAGGTTCTAAGCTATTTTCTATTAGATACAGATGCTCTCTTTTCATTTGAGAAAAAGGAAGTGGCAAGTACCTTTCTAAAAATATGTAGCATTTTAAAGTAAACTTGCCACCAGCTACACTTTCAATTTTTTTTCTGCACTACTTAAGGTATTTTGGGTTAAACTGATCAGTTTTGTTAGCTGATACAGATTGCATCTGTGAGTTTATGGCATGGCATCTGTTTCAGATTTATGGGGAAGATGATTTCATGAAATTAAGATTGTCTGTGTTTCTACAAGGGCTTATCGAAGAGATTTAATCCCTGTCTGTTCCTGTGATTTAGAGTTTGGGTTTGTTGAGGGGTTTTTTTTATTATTATTTTGTTTTCTTTTGAACAGGAACATGATGGAGTGTTTCCAGCAAATAAATAGGATTCCCACGTGAGTACTTTTAGCTTCTGACTTCAAGTACTGAGTCTGCCCTTGGTCTGAGCTTTTGCATTTCTATCAGAGCTGACAGTACTGGTCCATAAATTATGGAGTGAGTGTGTGTCTGTCCCTGTGAGCACAGGGGGACAGTCTGTCCAACTGATAGGTTCCAAGACCTTGCTGTCCCAAAAGCTGTTGGAAATGCAAAGGAGGGGTTTAGGTGTTTGATCCTCAATGTCATGGTAAGTCCTGTGCTGCTGTTTCTTTTACCACTGCCAGCCAGAGGGTGTGGGCCTGATTCAGGGACTGTGAAGAAGGGAAGGCTATTTGGGCTGCTGCTGAGGTGGGGTCCTTCTCCTGAGCAGTGAACTGCAGCCCTGTTTTTATGCAAGGAGAAATACTGCTTTCTGCTAGGACAGGACTTCCCAAGTGCTTCACATCAGTACAGGCTGAAGGCTGAGGTGACATTCCAGGCAGGAGCAGAATTGGACTGGTTGAGTGATCTGAAAATCTGTCACCTCTCCCTCTCTTAAAGCACCTGCTGTAAATTAATGGCCTCAGCTGGGGCCCCATGATCAGTCACTCCTTGTCTTTGCTTTTGCAGTGACCAGGTGATGGATGAGTTCTTGACCTGTGCTAAACAAACCAGCTGCCCGGATGAAGCAATTAAGCTGGTCAAGCTGGCAACGTCCCTTGGCCTCCCTGCAGCTCAGAGGCTTAAGAGCAGAACAGAGAAAGAATTTGAACTTTCTGAAAAGCAGAAGTAAGTTGGAGTACTTCATGTTACTGCTAGAGGGGTCTGGTCGATTCACACTCCCAAAATGGCCCTGCAGGTTCTGATCCCATGCTGTACCCACCCCCCATAGGAGGGAGGGTAACTTGCCTTGGTGGCATGAGCCTCATCCACCACTCAGACCTGCCATCACCTTTCTTTCCCAGCAGCTTTTCCTAGCTGGGTTGGCCACCTAGAAAAGAGTGATTTCAGGCTCATGAAAGAAGGTGGTAAAGGATGGCCCTGCATGTGGTTCACAGGTTCTGAGGCTTGTGGTCAATCTTCAGTACACCTGGCCAGCCACCGTGGTTCATTCCTGAGCTTCTGCAGCTTATCCTTGAGGGACTAGTTTGGAGCCAGTGGTCTGGTCCAAGAGGAATGAATTAATAGAAGTCCAGCACCTCTGACAGCTGGGCAACCACTTTCTGGGCAACTGAAGTCGCCTGCTTTTTCAGGAGATGGGTGTGTTTCCACCAGATGCTGGGTGGCTGTCCTTTTGAGGATAATAGGCATGAGTCAGCCCATAATACTCACTTTGGAGAGGGTTTACCCTGTGATTTGGATCTCTTTTCAAGCAAAAGTCACAACAGTGACCACTGGTCTGTTTCACATCTGCAGGGAAACATTGGAGAGTATCAGGCCAGACAGCGATAGCGACAGTGACAGCGACAGTGACAGTGACCGTGAGTAGCTGAGCCTCTTGCCTTCCCCTCGGAGAAAGTGGGAGCAGCCACCTCCTCCCTGCCACGAGGCTTCTGTGAGAAGTGGAATCACTGACAGGACAGCCTCTGCGAGGTGCTGCAGCACTGCTGAGCACTCAAGAGCACTGATACAGGACCTGCCTGGCAAGAGGATGTTGTCAAGCTGGAGCTTGTCCTGTTGGACCATCTTGGTACCTTCAACCACAGTGTGAGCTACACCAACACAGCCTCTTCTCCACCACCCCCTGCACCAGCTGGGTCCTGCCAGGCAGCAGCAGCACTTGGCTCAGATACAGGGGGGCTGCAGTGAGAGGAGTGCAGCTTCCTGGAGGCTGCTCAGCAGGTTCAAGACTTTGACAGCTTGAGCAAGACTTCTCTTGGACCTCCTGTGACTTAAACCTGCACCAGATTGAATTCCTTTCCAGCTAACTTTAATGAACTACTGAAGTGTCAAGTTTACTGCAAGTAAGTGAGTATTTATCTCCTGTGGTGTTATCCCTCACCTTTTTTTGCGTTTTGGGACAGGCTTTGGACTGTAGATGTTAAAAAGCTGCCATTTGTACAGAAGAGGTGGCATCTAATAAATGGCTGACATTTAAAGAGGACTGTATTCTGATCATTCCAGAGCAAAAACATCCCTGTAGCTTACAAAGTGTTGTGGCTGCTCTCTGTGAGGAAGTGCAGTTGGTGCAGATCCTGCAGTTAAAGCTAACAAGGTGACTGGGAAGATGGATGACTGCCTTGTTCCCTCCTCTGCCTTGCAGTTAACAGCACTGTGCTGCTGTTTTCAGCTTGTGGAGGAATCTTGAAGGGGTTGTTTTGAGGTAGTTACCTTGAACAGGTGAAGAAGGGCTTGTTCCTGAGAGTATTCAACTATATTCTGGTGAAAAATAGTTAAAATTTTTATTCTCTTTGATAAAATCTTGCTGTGCATGATGCTGCAGGACAGGTAAGAGCACTCCAGGGGCAGAAAGCAGCCTCAGGATAATTCAGTAGTGGGTTTGGGAAACAAGTTCCTAGAGAAACTACAGCTGGAAGGGTAGAAGGCAAGTGCTCCTTGCTTTCCAGGAGTGGAGGGACAGTAAAGCTGTTTTGAAGGCAAGAGTTGCTCCACAAAGCAAACATGCCTCTTGGAGTAATGCATGACTAGTGTGGGTGAAGGGAGCAGGTCAAAGATCAGGGGCTTTCAGGGTTGTTGATGTGCTTGATTGTACCAACAATGTAGAGCAATCAGCAAGGAGAAAAAGCCACAGTGACTCATTTCAGCAAATGGGTACGAGGTAAGTTTGATCAAATTGTCTTCACTGATGGCAAGAGTTAAGGGAAAGGTAACAGAGGGAAGGAGCTTTGTCTTCCATTTGAGCTCTCATGGTTGAACCCAAGTGCTTTCTAGATAGATACACCTGGTCTTCTGGAACTCAAGAGCAGATCTGACAAGCTGGTGTCAGAGGTGGACTTCTACCCTGCCTGCTTAAGTTACTACAACATTAAGCTGTACTCAGACATGGATTTTTTTATATATTTTTTTTTTGTTTTACAGCTGTATGAATTAAATTAGACATTGATCACATCAATTAATTCTTGCTCCTTGAAAGGAGAAAACCAGATAACTTGTCTTCTTCAGGGCACGGAGAGAGAGCTGGGCAGTAGAACAGCCTATGTGATGTTTAAACAGGAGACTTGACCAGCAGGTAAAGTGGTTGAAGTCTTGTTTTATTCAGCTGACAGAGGCAAATCATGACCGGCAGGTTACAAACATCATTTGGGTTGGATCACAAGCCCACTTGGTAAGATGGGGAAGCAAAATTATTACATGAATCATAAGAGAACCTTCCTGCAGTTGGTTGTCATGGGAACTGAAAAACCAATACAAATGACATTGGGTGGTGAAGTTAAATACAGTGCAAGGAAACCAGACAGTACCCGTGCTTCGATGGAACATGTCCAGCCCCTCCAGCAGCCTGGCTGGCCAACCCTCTGGAGATGCTGGGATTTCTTCCCAGCACAGCTGCCTCCAGAACTGCACTCCCTGCTCACTGCACCTGCGTCGTCCCTATCCCCACAGCGCTGGCGTAGGCTGTCAGGATGTCCACTACCTGTTTTGTCTCCAGGGTCATCCGTGCCTCCTTCAGCCAGTCGTGCGCCACCCGCCTCGACTCTCCCCTCAGCTGGTTGACAAATTTAGCTGCCAACTCCAGGTCCCCATGCTCGATGCAGTAGGAAGCATAAGACAGTAACTTAAAGGTGTCGAGGTCGTCGGGGCTGAGCTCAGCCGGTGGCTTCAGCTGCTGCGGGTGGAACAGCAGCAGCGACTGCAGGTAGGAGAGGAAGTACTGGTAGAGGCTGTTTCTGGTTTCATCGATCATGGCCACTCTCTTTGCCAGTTTTTGGACAGTGTAGAAGCGAGCTCTGAGGGCCTCCTCGCTGTACACGCCCCGCGTCAGGGACTCCTGGGGCAGAGCCGCTGTCAGGGTCTCCGTGAAGGCGTTGTCGGAGCAGCTGGCTTTGATGGCCTTCACAGCGCCCTCCAGAGGTTCGGTGGGACTGTCCCCAGAGGCTGTTTTCATGCAGTATTTGAGCGCTTCTACAGAAAGCCACAGCTGGTGGGCCTTCCTGGCTTCCTCTTCTGCTTCTGCATGACCTGCAAGATAAACCAAGAGGGCTCTCAGCTGGGGGCACAGGTATGGGAAAAGCTTGAACATCAGCAGCAAAAGAGATCCCTCTGAACACTTGGCTTCCGACAGCAGCCACCCCTTCTGCACTTGACCTTGAGGCAAGTCTGCTCAGCAAACCATGGTCAGAAGGAGACAGCTCTGGACTGGTGCAGCTGGGGTGTGCTCAGCACTGTGCTAAACCCAGGCCCAGGAGTTGTGTGCCTACGCCTGTGCTCAAGCACCCAGGCTTGGGTGACAGGCCCCAGGGGCTGGTAACTTCAGCCCTTACAGACAGGCAGTTTCAGTGCTCACTCTCGACAGCTTGCTCGATCCCTTTCAGCCGGGCATAGGCAGTGTTGATATCCAAGGTGAAGTTGTCCAGCTGCTCCTGAGTCAGGCGTCTGAACTGCATCTCTTGCTCGCTGAGTTTCTCTGACAAGTTCTGAAACAGAGAGAGATGCACCAGCTATCACACCAGAGGCAGCTGGGTCATCTTTTTTTACCTTAAGATATATTTCTATAAATCTTGTTCTGGCTGGCCAGTGCATACAGTAAATACAATGTACCAGTAAGAAACCTTATCAGGGTGAATTTAGCAGTGAACTGCACTTGTTATGCTCAAAGTTTTCTCACCTATAGCAAAAGCTTTTCAGTCTGAATAAACCTGCACCCTCAGGCACTTCATCTCTTCAAGCAAACAGCTTCCCTTGCCAGCCAGCATGTGTTTTAGTCTTCTGCAACATGGTTCAGGACTCTCATCCTGTGAAGTGTGTGCTGTGCCAGGGGTCAAATATCCCCCTCATTGCCCTGAGGGGGCAATCTTCTCCCTTACCTGCTCAAATTCCACCTTCAGCTCCTGCTCCTGGATCTTCAGAACATCCCTCAGGTGGTCAGTGTGAGCAGCCGCCTGCCGCCGCAGCTGGGTCCTCATCTCGCTCTCCATCACCTCTCGCACCTCCTCAACCTGTACACACAAGCATTGTTGTCACACCCCTCCTTCTCAACTGCTTGTCACTCGTTTCATCATACCTCACCTAGGGTACAATTTTGAAAGTGGCATTGACAGAGCCCGTGTTTCATTTAAAAACAAACTCTGGAGATTCATTCTTACAGCTGAGCCTTTTCCTAAAGACTTGAAAGAACCACTTCCCAGCCCCTCAGTCCCTGGAACAGGTGGGTGTTCTCACTAGGCACTTCGTGCAGTGATCAAAATACTGCATAAAAGATACAATAACACAACAAACTAAACACTCTGGTGTGTATAAATCAGCTTCCAAACAACACACACTTCACCTTTTCCCCCACATGCTGTAATACTGATTTTAATGAAAGGTTAAAACCATTTTTACCAGATCTTGTACAAACCAGCCACTTCAGAGACTGCAACTTAACACAAGGGGGGATGATGCAGGTTTATCAGGAGTTTTTTGTTTTCTGTTGTGGTTTTTTTTTAAAGAATGGTGGCATTTCCAACCTTGCTATAAATGCAAAGGTAACAGTTCAAGCAACTTCTAAAAAGAGCTGTAAATTGATACCTGTTCCTACAGTGCTTTGAACTAACAGGCTAGAGGTGAAATCCTTCCTTTCCCTCAAGTCAATGTGTATTTTCCTGCATTTTTAAGCTGTACTTGCTTCATGTCCCAAGGAGCACTGAAATTCTGTTTCCATAGTCATCTTCAAAGAAATCAAGTACCAAACCACTGGCAAAGCGTGGAAGGCCTTAGCGATACCTCCTGGAGGCAGGATGGAGGGGCTATATTGCCCCAAGGTGGCCACACTGGGTCAAACCAACCATTTGTTTTGACCCCTATCTCCACCAGCAGACAGGAAACACAAGGAAGTCACTCCCTGTTTCACTGGGAGTTCTCACCATCCTGACTTTGCAGAAGTTTCCTTGCTCAAGGTGTCCTTTCCATACTTAGCCTGGGGGTCACCCCATCTGAAATCTCCCATCACTCAGAACATCCCAGTTGCTTTCCATAGAATAGTTTGGGTTGGAAGGGACCTTAAAGATCATCTAGATCCAACCCCCCTGCCATGGGCAGGGACACCTGCCCATATGCACTTTTCTGGGCACTTCCTCTAGCTCTTCTACCTCCTTTCAGAGCCAGAATTCCAACCAGGTGTGTTTACACCCCTTTACCTTCTTCTCCTGTTCAATTTCGATCTCACTCCTGTGCCGCTCCAGCGCTTTGGCCACGGCTGCTTCAAATGCTTTTTTGTCTTCAAGTTTCTGCTTCTCCAGGGCAGACTCGATGTGCTGCTGCTCCCGGACCCGCTGCTCCGCCAGCTCCCTGTTCAGCTGGTCGATGCGCCGATGGGCGTGGGCGATCAGGGAGTTCAGGTCGTCTGTGGACAGCTGGCCAGCTGAGGAGAGCACAGGGCCTTAGGAAGGTCTGCAGGGAAACTGACACCCCAGTGCTTGCCCATCTCCCACTTGACACCCCAAGCATCCCCAGGGCTGACCAGCAAACATCTTTAGGTAGTTTTCAAGGACATCGACCCTCCGTGACCTGTGCTAATGCCCACCCAATTCCACTCCCTGACCCACACCTACTTTTTGCCCTTAGTTTCTTCAGAGTGGTTCACAGCTACTAGCTACACTCCCACATCCATGTCACACTCCATCAGAGGAGGCTGTTGACAGTCTGTCCCTTCCTCTCTTTACACCACCATGTATTCTCCCCTGGGACAGCACACAGAGCAGCAGGGTGTAAAGCCCTGAGCACTGATACCTCCAGCTTAAGGGAGTTTGCTCCTGAAAGCACTGAAGTCACTGTGAGAGACAGACAGAATTACGTCCTCCAGACCAACTGCTCCCAGTTGGGTTTCTTACCCCAGTTTGTGCCTTTCACGTTTGGCTGCTCCAAGAGCAGTGGAGTCACAACCACATGTGTGTGCTAAGGAGTTTGCTACTTTTCTTCTGGGAGAGGAGGACAAAAGCAACACCTGTACCATCTGTGCACTGCATGACCTGGGAAAGGCACAGGCTCTGTAAATGGCACTGGCTGCCAGCTACATCACCTGCAGGGAAAACCAGGGACTACTCAACATTCCTGCAGGGTCCAAAGCAAGTGAAATTTCACAGTCCTTCAGCCATCCTTCTGGTGAGTGCTGAAGCAGGACCACTAAGCTCAGCTGCTGACCTCACTGTCACAGGCAGAATGGGCTTTCATTGCACCCCAGTTTTAAATTACATTGCTTTTTGATCAAAAGGGAAAAATAAATCATCATCAACCTCAGAATCAAAGACTTAATCCACAATTCTAAAATCAATCACGAAGATTAAATTTGGAGAATCAAGCAGACTTGCAATTAAATTAACCTGGTTTTGGTGACCCAGCTCAGAGCAGCCCTATGTGGCTTTTCAAGCATACACAGCACCTAGATGGTTCAGTGGCATCACCTGTGGATTCACAGGAGCTGGTGAATCCAACACCTCTCTTAAGCCAGGACTGCTGTGAGGTAGGAAACACCATCACACAGGTTAACTGGAATTGGGTCAAAGTTTGTTTCTCATTGGAGTCTCAGCAGCAGGTATCAACCAGCTCAAATTCACAAGGAAAATTTAAACCTGGCTCTCACCAGCCAGCAGTCACACTCACCTGGGAAGTGCTGCTAGACAGAGTTTGTGGTTTAAGATAGACATGCAAAAAGGAAAGGATCCCAAAGCATTCCTCAGCCTGAAATGTTGTAGGAATGCAACATTTCACCCCCTGTTGATACTGAAAGTGATGTACCACACGAACATAAAAAAGGACAAAGATAAGAGATGACATTCACAAGACCAGAACAAGTTGCAGGAACTCACCTAAGTCAGTTATCTCTGCAACAGAAAGAGGAGAGGTTGGAAAAGTTAATGCACATTCACTACAGCAGGTAAGTCAAGCAAAAGTGAAACAGAAAACTTAAGAGCTTTTTATCTACAGTGACTTAAACATGAGACCAAGTCTTTAGGAATTCAGAAAGAACAGCATGTTGGGTATATAAGTCTCTATATTACAGTCAAGATGTAGCCCAGAACATCCCAACCACTAAAATTACCTTTGGAAACCCACAGATGGATGCTGAAGTTTAGCCAAAGCAAGGAATACCAGTTTGAAGTAGAAAAGTGTGACGGGACACTGGAAATTTTACTCTTGACTTTTCTAGGCTCTTATAAATCCAAAGCAGTTGGTTAAGAAACAAATTCCCAAGAAGCAGCGTGACCCACAGAGCCAAACAAGTAATTCCTGTGTAGACTCCAGCAAGTCACACATGGAGTGCATGGAAACCACCAGGAGATTCCCTGCCCTCCCTCAAAGGGGCAGCAATCACAAAACCCAGGATGTTCTCACTTTATCCTGAACAATGCAGCTGATGAGATTTCAGATCTCGGGCAAAGAACTGCAGCAGTAATAACAGCAACAAAACTAAGACATCCATTCACTGCTTCCCTGCAGCTCTTGCTGTTGCTGAAGTTCCTGTGCCCATTTAGTTCAGAAATAACATTCACTGTGTGTGGTGTGGTATGAACAATGGCTTCTCTCCTCCAGTAGATCTGTCATTGCAGATCATCTAGAGAAATTCAAGGAGTTCTTTATCACTCTGTAGTAGAATAGGTACAGTCACCGTGTCAAGCCAGACACTTGGTCAGTGAGAAATACATCTGATCCACATTTGGAGTGACCTTGCTCCTTCCCTGGAATACCAGGGTGGGAAGAGATGTTTAAACTCTTTGGTATTTATCAAGCAAAAGCTACATTGTGTGGAATTCCCAACACAGCACAGGTGGTTCCCAGATGGCAGCCTTGTCATAACACCAGCTTTAGATGACTTAGTTTAATTGTGAACCAATTTTTACTTAGCTTTACTCAAACCAACCAAGATGGAAAACTGGACTCTGGACATGCAATTCAGTGGCTGTAATCACAGAAAAAACCCTACAAAGTAAGGAGTGACAGAATGTAACCAGCACAAAGTAATCCTGCAATCACAGACTTACTCATGCCCTTCCAGCCAGGCTTCACATCAGGGGTGATGCTGTCCAGCTCTCGCTGAAACTCTTCTCTAGCTGTAGCCACAAGCTCATGGTACTGAGCTACTATCTTGGCCTCAGATTGTGCTTCCTGAACCTGTAACAAACATAAATGAGATTATTTTGCAAGGCAAATATTGAAAACAGAGGCATATATAACTTAAGACCAGGTCCCAAGTTAGTGGCAGGTATCGTTCCTCTCCAGCCCAACCAAAGCAAACTCACTTGGGAGAGAAAAACTCCACCCTGTGATATCAAACCTCTTGTATACAATAATTTGCTGTAACTCCCAGAAATCCATTTCTCCTCACACACACACACTGTAACTGGATAGCCAGTCTGGAGCCTAGACAGGAACCAAAGAGGATCTTAACTCAGTTTGTATCTTTAAAGATCTCCAGCTCCTTCTGTCTGCTTTCAGCTGCCATCCAGGCCTGGTCAGCCAGTCCTGTGCTGCTGCCCCCCTCTCAGGAAGTTCTGATGTTGCCACTTTTAGGCTAAATTCTCCACTCAAAACACAAATGATGAATTATCAACTGTGCTGCAAAGGAGAGAAATTTCATCTTCACATTTCTTCCCCAGTCTTCTGAGCTGTAAAGTGATTTACCCACCAAGTCATCAGCACCATTTGCTCCTAATGCTCGCTAACCTACTGGTAAATTCCTCTCAGCATCAAATAGAAAGAATTACAAGTCACCTACAGAACAGACAGACACAAATCAAGCTGGGTGCAAACTCTTTCAGGACAGAGACCAAGTTCTTGCAAAGATCTATTATCACTGGTATATCATCATCTCAAAGAATGAACATAGGTAAAAAACCCAAAAGACCAGAGTTTACGCTTTTAAAATGTTTAACCTATTAGAGGGCTTGGTAAGGGGAAGCTGCACAAGTGCCAAATAGTCCTTACTCTCATGGCAATAAAGAGCAGCCTGTGAAATCATTACCTTTTTCACCACGTTGTCCAAGTCCACTATCATATGACGAAGATTTTCTTCTGCAGCAGTAATGTGAGGTTTGGTTCCTGCAACCTGAGACTTTTTGGCATTCTCGATCACACCTTTTGTCTTCTCTAACTCCTCTCTGAAAAGAGCAGCAGCTGCTAATTATAATGCATACAGAAAAGTTTTCTTTATGCTGTCTGTATTTATGGGAAGAGCTACTGGAAAACTCTCCTGGTGTTCCCATCCACCAGACCTATGGGCTGGGATGCTGTGATTTGTCTTTCCACAGACTCAAAGCTACAGATGTGTCTGTTCCATGGACAATGAGAATTATTTCCAGTACAACTAGAACTCAGGACTCAAGACTTAGCTGGAGGGGGCAGATGGAAAAAAGGAGTTAGTATCAGTAAAACTAAGTGAGAAGGGAGGCAGTTCCATCCCATAACAGATTTATTAAGGAAACATTTTTAATACAGATGGCTTACTTTTGCACAAGTGTTTTGGACAGGGTGACTGTTGGAGATAAATAGATGGGAGGAAATTTAGAGAGCTCTGTAAAGATAGATTACATTTTTTTTGTAATTTAAGAAAGAACCACTTTCCTCTAACGTGATTGAAAATCAAGGAAAAGGTAAAAAAGCATTCCTCTTCCAAGTCCATTCAAACCAGTGGAGGCTTCTAATGGCCTCACTGAAATAAGGAACAAGTTTTAAAATAAATAAATGAGTAAATAAAAGAAAGGGAAGACATTCAGTAGAGCAATGTCTGGGGTTTGTATTAGATTTGTTTCATTCTTTGGAACGTGGATTACACCTCCTAACTATTTTTAGTCAGCACAGCAACTTTTAAGATAAGAGAGGTTTATAATTTAAATAGCAACCCTGCAACTTCAAGGGTGATATTGCCCTCCAAGCCTTGGAAGCATCAAAGGTTTTCCGAATTTATTTCTATCCTCATTAGAAGGGCAAGTTGGAGGTATTGGTCTGGCATCTTCTTTTTTCTGCCACGATCCCAGGAAGCCTGCACACCAGACTCTGCACATCAACACAGATCACACGGACCCTTGGGTTATGGGCTTCATTTCAGAATTCAGGTTTTTGTTAGGCATCCACTTAGTAAAAATCTAACCTCAAAAGTAGCAACTCTGCTGACAGGTGGAACTGCCAAATGATGCTGTAAGGTGCAATGTTTCATTACTACGAAAAGAAGCTGGTGATGCTACTGACTCAACACAGAGAGAGTGCAGTCATGGAGACCTTACAATAGGTTTAATATTGACAAAATTATCCAAAAATACTAAAAGAGTTATGGATTTACTTTTTTTTAAATCTAACTTGAAGTTACCAACACTATAGGCAAGTATTAAGGAGATGAACAAGTTCTTAAAAAGAAGAGTAGGCCTGTGTCAGACTCCTTGGTACAGCAAGGACCACGTGAGACTGCAAATTAAAACTCTCATGAGTGTGTGTGACTTTCTTTGGCTTGGCACAAACACATCAGTTTAACATGAACACAGGTGCCTGTCTGGAGACTCATCTGCTGTCTGTGAGCCCTCACAGGGGTGATACTCACTGACCACTCCACAAGCCTCAAAACCAAGCAACTTACTTGGCTTTCAGGAGGGCGTCAGCAGCCTCATCCACTGCTCTCCTCCGGTCCTTCAGAGCCTCCTCCAGGGTGCGCCACTGGGATGGTTTTTTCTCCCCAGCATCCTAAGGAACACAGATGCCTAATTAGGGCCACCCCAATCCCGAAATAGAAGAGTTATTTTACTCAGACTGACCAACAGGTTTGTGTTTTCCCAGCTGGATATATTATTCTTCCCTTCCAGTGCTTTGATTTGTGTGATTCTTCATGGGTTTTGCCATCTGGGCAACAGCCACTTGTCCAGGCAGAACCTTTTATGGTGTCACAGCACTGGGTGGAAATCTCTACATCTATCAAAGTACTGGAATACTTTCCAAATTGCTTTTAACCTTAATATTTAGGGTACAATAATACTTTAAATTTGCTTATTTTTAAAGTAAGCTTAAAAGCCAACTCTTAAGATACTTGTTTTTCTAACTACTAGAGTAAATCTTGGGTGCTTGTTTGGTTGCCTGGATGCCCCTGGTCATTGATTAACCACTGAATCAGTTTATCTGTTCCACAATGGAATAGGAAGTAGGAATTCCACACAAAACTCAGCCTTAGCACACCAGAACCACAAGCTGGCATTGTTCATGCATCCCCAACACATTTCCAGACAAGAAACTTAATAATTCAGCAGTAAGATTTTGGGAAAGGGAAATGTTGAATGGAATTATCTGGGTGGACAGCATGAAAACCTACCTAGATCTAGGTTAAGAAATGGGTTTGGAAATTAAAATACCATGTGAAGACTACCAATGTATAAACTTGAACTTTTCTTCTTGCAAAAGGGAAATAAAGGAGTTGGGGAAGAAAAAGCAAATAAAATTCAAAAGCAAACCCCCATTTCACAAGTGGAAAGATTAGTTAAAACTGCAATAAAGGTAAAAGCATTGCAAGAAAAGCTTCCGACTCTGTCTTTAATTCTGAAATAAAGTTTTGTTGAACATAATTTTCTTTAAAAATTGTCCCCATTCGTCCATTTTACCTCAGAATTGTCCATGGCCTCCTTCAGTATTTGTGAGTGGGCATTCACTGCTTGCACAGCAGCCTCCTGGGCAGTGATGGCCTGCAGGGTTGTACGGGCTGTTGCACTTAGGGCTCCTTCTAAAGTTGATGCAAGAGCTGCAATAAAAATAATGAACTGCATTAAACCAGAAAGAGAAGAGCCATAGAATTAGTAAAATGACCTGCTGGGTTATTTCCTATGCCCCAAAGGGTAGGGGTGAGTTCAGGAGCTACACTTGCAGCCTACAGAAGAAGAAATGTTGCCAGGACATGGCTCTTCAGAAGAGCACTAAGGTCCAAGCCTGCACCTACAGCAATCAAGCTGCCCAGTGCAGAGACCTTTGCCATGTTTCTGCAGGGCACTGCATTTACACCAACAGATTTATTTCCACCTTCATTTGTTGCAATGGTTATTAAGAAGAAACAAGTAAATTCTCCCATCTTCCCCAAGGAAGACACATTCCAACAGCAGAGTTATTCTTCCCAGCCAAGAAGGTGGTGATACCAACTATCGATTCCTTGTGGTGCAGAAGCACAATTGAGCTATTAATTATTCAAGCAGGGACCAAACCAGAATGGTTGATCAGAGTGAGCAGCATCTGCCTTTCTGGAGTCAAGACATTTATTTCTAAGTGTTAGGGTAAGTAAATGCACCTTTCCAGTAAACACTCCTCTGGATTTTTTCAGTGTAACATCTCAATTTCTTCACTTGCAAATAACATCCTTGTATGAAGCAGACAACTCGTGCCAAGCCTCTTTGTTTCTCCTCATGTTGCTCTTCTACACCAGACACAGAAGCAAGAAGCAGCAGACCACAACCTGCATGTCTGCTCCAACCCTGTTAAGTTCAGGCTCGTAGATCCTTGCGTGCAACGACAGCCCAAGGCTGACTTTGGCTGAGGACACCCTGAGGAAAGTCTCAGTGTGGTCCTCACAGCTGCCAAGAGCCTGTTCACATGCAGGGCAGTCAGGCAGGTCAGATCAGAAACACCACACTGCATCAGACCTTCTTCCACCATCAGTCAACAAAATACAAAGGCCACAGCAGGCTGAAGCATGTCCAGTAAGTGGCCTCAGCACTGTTAAAATTCCCTTTCATGCCTATTTTCACTGGCTACACCCACGTCAGCAGGAAACATTCATTTATTTTAAACACAGTTTCTGTTCAGCATCCTTGTCTCTAGCCTACCCACCCCAAAGACTCCTGTGGCCTACCCACAGAAGGTCTGCAGAACCACTGCAGTCATCTTTGCATTGTCCCCAGTCAGAAGTTACCTTTCAACACCCATTCCCTTCTCCAACAGGCTGGTCTCCCTCTCATCCTCATCAACACTGGCTGGAGGACAATATGGAAGCTTTCTCACACTGCCATCTGCAGCCTGAGCTGGGTTTGCTTTCAGAAGGTAAGTAAGTATCCAGATAGCTGGCTACAGATTGCCCAGACATGCTAGACAACAAACCACCACCTCCCAAAAAAATAACTCTCCATTTTTCTGGCTTCCCAGGAGGCAAACAAGAAAATGACCCAAAACTCCTGACTTAAAACAATCACGCTGCAGTCAAACCAAGACCAAACAACAGCTCAGAAGTATTTAAATGAATAAACCAAGTGGGGGTGGGGGGGGAAGCAAAGCTTATTGTTTTGAGCAAGACACACCAGCAGGACATGAGCTTTGGGACAGAAAAAGCCAAGCCACCTCTCAGTAAAAGCTGGACTAATAGCTCTGAGTTAGAACCCAAGCAAGAAACTATCATAGTTCCCAGAACCTACAGGGAAATCTTCCCAGAGCCCTGATATACCATCCCTGAACCACCACCAAACCAGTTGAGGCAGTGGGTCTGTAGACAAGGACCCAGGGATCCCAGAAGCTGCAAACTGAACATGAGCCAAAAGTGTGCTCTGGCAGCAGTGAATCCCAGTCATGAACAGGGTTCCACCAAACAAAAACACCTCCCACAGATGGAGCTAAGGAAGGATTTCCCTCTAATGGGCACCTAGGAGACCATATCTGGAATACAGCGTTACATCTTGGGAGACTGAGGGTACAACAGACACAAAATGGGGAGAGAACAGTGGAGAGGCCCTAAAATGGTTTGGGGATGGGAGCACGTAACAGATGAGAGGCTTCTAGAGAGAAGCCAAAGGGGTACCTGAAGTAATGCTTTCCACATCTAAAGGGGTGTTACAGAAGTGATTGAACCAGACTTCTCAGAGGTGTCCAGAGAAGCAACAGATCCAAGTGCCAACAAGAAAAATTAATTGGATGTATCAAGTTCTTCATCACAAGAAGTGCTGGCAAAGATGCTCAGAGAAGTAGAACAATCTCCATCCCTGGAGAGCTTCAAACCTCCAGAGCAGAAAGCCTTGAGCAAACTTCCTGCAGAAGGATCCTTATTTATACTTCTACAGGGTGGTCAAACACCGGAACAGGCTTCCTAGAGAGGTGGCTGATGCCTCAAGCCTGTCAGTGTTTAAGAGGCATTTGGGTAGTGCCCTTAACAACATGCTTTGACTTGGTCTGCCCTCAGCTGGTCAGTAGGACTAGATAAATGCTGTAGGTCCTTCCAGCCAGAATAGTCTACTCTAGTCTAGTCTAAACTGCCCCAACTCTCCAAGCAGGAGCATGGACTAGAAAACTTGGTAGTCCACTCCAACCCAAGATTTTCCATCACTCTTTGATCATCAGTTACATCTCCTGTGTGGAATAAACTTCAAAACCCCTCATTCTGCCAACATGACACAAGGACAATGAAGAGGTGTGCAAGCACCTTGGAACTCTAAAGTCAATATAGTCCAACAATTCTTCTGTCATGTACAGGAAAACTAGCAGTATGGACTCACCTGCTATCATCTCCTGCTCCTCTTTGTCTTGCTGGGCAAGCCGGGCTGCAACTTCTTCTGGTGACCTTTCTTTTATGACATGGGAACCTTCATGTTCTTTACCTATTCAGAAGTTAAAAGAGTTAAACTGTTTAGGTGGAGTGTCCAAATTAGTGCCTGGATTACTTGTAGGGAAGCAACTTTCTTTTCAAAACTGGTTTTTATAGTCAGTACAACTTCAGAAATCTGACTTCTGCATGAAGCTGTGCTAAAACTACCTCAAGAATTTTTATACCCATAATTACAATGGGCAGTCTCACATTGTATTAAAATTAAAGACAATAGCACAGACATCTCACATGCATCTGTAGAATTTATGTTGTGTAGTTACAAAAACAAACAAGACTCAGAAGCGAAAGGCGAAGCAAGATTTGAAAAACACTTATGGAGTCAAGTTTAAAGTTAGTAACTGCTCTTATTGAATTTTTAATCAGTTCTTCTCTGGCATGCTTAGAGAGTCCAGCCTAAATAGAAAAAGATGAGGGAGAGGGCTATGGTGAGTGACATGTCTACACTACTCCCTAGCCTAAGGCTACTTAAAATGCCTGAAGAGTGAGCACTGACCTAAGTAACTCTCTCAAAATCAACAGCAAGTCTGCATCTGAACTGAGGAGAGCCCAGACCTCTCAGATTCATGCTGCAACAAAAACCATATAATAATGCTAAGCCATATAATAATGCTAAAAACCATTTAAATAATGCTAATGCTAACTCTGAAGAACATATTTATTTCCTGCTGGCATACTTTTTATGAAATGTGTTCATACGTAAAGAAATTATACAATCTCATCTGAAATAGACTATCATATAGAAGCTAGTGCTTCTTGTTGAGTTAAACAATAAATGCAGTTTCTTGCCTTGGCCCTGGGCAGGCTTGCTTTTCTGAACCTCAATCAGAAAGCCACAAAGAGCAGAAGCAAACTGCACTGTACAAGTTCAACATTAAGCCAGGCTTTCCTCTTGTATTCATGCCTGTGCCAGACCCAGGAACCAACCTCAACTTCTCAACTCAACTTCTTAGTATATTAAAACTACATCAACAGATATGGAAGTTGTTTCTTCTGCAGAAGGCACAAAGAATCATGCCTCTAGGAACTGACAAACACCAACTGAGAAATAAAAACAACTACACTTGAAGCTGCAGGATTTTGTTTTTCTTCATCATGTTCATATGATCTTTCTCACCTTCTTCAGTCTGTATCCCTGGAGCTGGCACTGACATGGCTACACCAGTTGCAGAGATGATCTGTGCTGCAGCCTTGCCTGCTGTTAAATACAGTAGCAGAACAAAAACAGTTTGTGTGTATGAGCTATCATGTAAGAAAGAGATGTAAGACTTTATTTTTTTTCCACTGGGGAAACTTAGGATTTGGACACTGATATTATTTCTAGAAAATAGTTAATTTCCTGAACAAACAGCAAGCAGGTACCACTTGCACACATACACACACAAAAAGCCACAACAATTAAACAAAAAAAGATGTCACAGTTCCTCTCTAAACCAGTTCCCTCTGATCTGACTTTCCAGTACCTCAGTAATTATCTAAAATAAAGCTTCTTGCACTTGCACGAAGAAGAGGCAAGTGGCCTCAGAGTGCAGCACTCAAAGTGCTCTTCCTGCCGAGTCTCATATCTAAACTGTGCAGGACTGTCACTGTTTGTGAGTCCAAATACTCTATAAGGTAAATAAATTTCAAGACGAAAATTGGCCAAAATAAAAATAGAGCTTAAGCAATTTTAGACGATTGTTCTCATGAATGGGAAAACAATAACATGAAATCTACAGAATTATAACATATTCATCCTCAACCACTCCAAAGACTATTTAATCTACCCTGCGATGTAAGAGATCATTAAGCTTTTTGCTCCTTGCTACATGACATTCTGTACAGTTACCTTCTTTTTCCTCTGAGGGAGCAAAACTTTCTGCTTTGCTCATCTGGGATTTGTTAACAGGCTGTTTAGACTCTTTCATTACTTCGGCTACAGATGAGATCTTCAGTGGACCCTGCTGGATCTTGAAAAATCAAAAATAAGGAATATAATCAGTTTACCACACAGGTTGTGTCTCACCAGCTTCTTTATAACAGAAAAGAGTATCTGCATGTGCAGACTACCATAAATCTAAACTGCAAGGTGAACGTGAAAACACTGGATTGGATGATGACAAGAGAAGTATGGCTAAAATCAAAAGAGATATAGTTTTAGTTGTCTGATATTCTCCCATTCATTAAGAGCTGCAGACTACCATAAATCTAAACTGCAAGGTGCACGTGAAAACAGTGGGTTAGATGATGACAAGAGAAGTGTGGCTAAAATCAAAAGAGATAATAGTTTTAGTTGTCTGATATTCCCCCATTAATTAAGAGCAGAATTCTTTAGATCCAATTTAAAATACTTTGAGTTTCTTGCAAGTCAAATGGCTTTTTAAAGCTCAGGACAACCACAACCAGAGGAGCTTTTCAGCATTCTTGGATAACTGGGGAGGAATTCCTTTCAGATGCAGAAACAGAAACTAGCAGATTGGATTTCCAGAGCTGTGCTGAAGGCAGTATCAGGTTTCCCTTTCTGCAGGGTCACATCACTATGATTTCAAAGTATGATGCTCATGCCTGGCTCTGTACCATTCAGCTCTTTATTCAACCAAAAACTGCCTCAAGTTCTCTTTAAAAGAAATTCAGCTTAGAATAGTTTTCTTACAATCCTGGCACACTGCTAACTTCAATTAGCCTCCAGTAAAACAGTTACATTCCAACAGGTCACCCAACTTTTCTCTCCCAAATGTATTTCAGTGTATAAGCAGGGCAGCTATTCAGTTAGAATCCTACTAGATTATTGTACTAGAAAGACAAAGAGCAGTTTTACAGCCCATAGACCAGAATGAAAAGATGATAATGGGTAACCTACAAGCAGCATTGATATGCAGTACAAAGCAGTTCCTCAGTTCATAATTCCTAAACCTTTGTAACTGATGAATTCTTAAAATGTTTAAATTCTTAGCACACAGCAAAATCCATCAGAATTTGAGAAGAGCACATGCTGGCTCTAAAAAAACAAAGAAAAATGAAAGGGTGGGGGTCAATGGGAACCACTTACGGGTTTCTTTGGCATGGGAACAGTATAAGGTGCAGGACCAAGTGCCATCTCAAAGAGCTTATCAGAGTAGGGAACAGCCCTCTCTATGCTCTCCCGGAATTGTGTATCATAGCTGGCATACAGGACGGTTCCACCTACTCCTCCACCCACAACCAGGAGGCCTGCACCAATGATTTTGCCAACAGAGACACTGTGGGGGGAAAGAAGAGTGGAAGTTATGCAGGTGGCATCACGCGACAAACATCAAGCAGCTTTTGAGGCTTTTTAGCTTACAGCTGGGCACAAACATTCTGTTCCAGAAGCTGGCCAACAAATCCAGCACTCCCTGCTACCACAGTGGCTTGTGACTCAACCAAAGCTAAGATGGCAACCCACAACCCTCTTTCTAAATATCCATCACTTCGATTAGCTTCATTTAAATCTGGCTGAATCAAAGAGGGAACACACAGAACCATGAAAACAAGTTACTCCACCAAAAAAAATAAGTAATCCCACCACCACTAATTTGCTCCCCCATGAAACTACGGAGCAGATTCCCTCTTGGTCAAGGCAACAGAAGAACCAGTTCCACCCCTCCAAAACCATCTACATACCCAGACTCTCCTGAGGGGGTGGCATATCCACGGCACAGTCGCACTGGACGGACTGACACTCTCCCACACCGGCTGCTCTGCAAGGGAGGAGGAGGAGAGAGTCAGGCAGAGAGCACAAACTGTATCTGACCAGTTTGCTCCAGCACCCCTTCTTGCACACCCTCCAAAGGAAAGCAGCAGCCAGCACAAGAGCAGGGACATTGGACTCTTCTCCCTAAGCAAAGAAGAGGGCTTTCTCACATGCAACTTGCACGTTAAGGGCTTTTTAAGAAGCCATAAGAACCACAGAAGCACAGACTGCCAGCTTGGAAGGGACCTCAAGGATCACCTGGTCCAACCTTTCTAAGTTGGAACGTGATTTGGATGAAATGGCCCAGCACCTTGTCAAAGTGAGTCTTAAGTGTCCACTGTTTGGGAATCCACCACTTCCCTGGGGAGACTATTCCAACATCCAGCTGTTCTCATAGTGAAAAATTTTCTTCTGATGTTTGGTTGGGATCTGCTCAGGAGTAGCCTGCACCCATTACCCCTTGTTTTTTCCATGTGACTCCTTGTAAAAAAGGAGTCTCCATCTTCTTGGTAGCCACCCTTTAAGGACTGGAACAATGGCAATAAAGTTTCCCCTAAGCCTTCTTTTCTCCAAGCTGAACAAACCCAGTCCTCTCAGCCTTTCCTCATCCAGGCTTCCCAGTCCTTTGATCATTTTTGTGGCCTGGACCCTCTCCAGTCTGCCCACAACCTTTTTGTAGAGCAGGGCCCAAAACTGAGCACAGTAGAAAGCATTCTGAAAACAAGAAAAAAATCCCAAACCACACAACCTACCTCAGTTTATTTCTGCATTTATTTTGCCTATTTATGTTCCCTGTCTCCAGTCTGGGATGTACCACTGGGCTAGTGCAGATTCTCTTCAACAATCTCATGGGCTAGAACAGTTCAGCTGTGACCAGTGCAGAAGACAACAACAGCTGTTTAAATACTTAAAAACTATTAAAAACTGTATTTAATACTTAAAGCTATTTTTATTTCTGAAGACAAACGAGCAGTTCTGGAGCTCCCAAACCAAGACTTCCTCTTTCAGAAAATCAACAACACATCTACTTTCCAGAGAGATCTTGGATTATAATATAAATTAAATTACTATATAAAGAGTGATATTTCATTACAGTCTACTTAACAAAACCCACATTACCCAGGATTTTAATCCTCTTTATAATTTAGGTGAAAATTCAGATTAACCAGAAAGACTGGTTAAGCTACTCCAGCCTACAGAAGAAAAAACCCTCTGTCCTCCTCAGGTGGTTTTTCCCCACACACATGAATTGCTAAGAGAGAAAAACAGGGCTCATTGGAAATCAGAGCACAAGGCATGAAAGGAACTTTTTCCAAAGTTGAAATATTTTGGGCAACTAGACATTTTTTTCTTTTATTAAAAAAAAAAAAAAGACAATTGGGAGATGCCTCACTACAACCTACAACAGAGGATAAGTTTCTCTATTTCCTTTTGCATATGGCAATAAGTAGCAAGCAAAAATCTTGTAGTCCCACCCTTGTCCAATTGCATAAAGAGGAAAGGCAACACTGAACTCTTATTATTTCCAGAACAGCAGCCAAAAATTTTAAATTAGTATCAGGAGCATGTGCACAGCAACAGGAAACGTGCTCTTCTTACCCCAGAGACCTTCATGAGCTCTAGCTGTGCTCCGTGGTTGATTTTTGGGTTTACAGTGGATAGGAGACAAATAATACACATCTTCTGTGATGTTTTTTAATTGTTTGACTTGATTGCCCAGCAGAATTCACTGAGGCTTCACTGGCCCTTTCAGGAGAAACTTTCTCAGGGTCATCCCACCCTGTGCCATGTCAAGAGGGAGCCTGAGGCCACTCACCTCCCCCTCCTTGCTCAGGTTGGACTTGCCTTCCTGGTGATCCTGGAGGCTGCCACAACTATAACCTTGGCACATGGGTCATTTCTGAGCTGCCTACATCCCTACTCACACCCGTTGGTGGCAAGTAACACAGCACCTATTTAGTTCTCCCACCCTCAACAAACACACCTGGTCCTGCACTCAGAGAGCTCAAAGGGCAGAGGAGGAGCCCTGCTGCTTCTTCAGCATTTGTGCTTTCTACACCAAGGAGGGGTTTGTGGCATTATTGTTTCTGACCAGATGGTTTTAAGAGGTCCCTTCCAAGCTGAGCTTTGAAGCCCAGTCTAATTTTCCTCCCTCACATACAAATACACTATTACTTAAAAAAAACCCAACAACAACAAAACACAAACAAACACCACTTTCTATCAATCACTTCTTAAAAGCAGCATTGCTCTCTTTTGCCATCATCATAAACTTGCTTGGATTTGCTATATCACCATGATTTGGAAAATTACAAGTAGCTTCTAATCTCCCCTGTGTGTAATTTCCAGGAGTTTGTCCATTTTTTTTAGAACTCGGTTATTTGTTTGTAATGATGCCTTAGAGGATTTGGAAGAAATGCATCCCACATGCATTGCTGTGCCCTGCAAAAGGCAGAAATAAACCATTCACTTTCTGCAGAAACACAGAATCACAGAATGGTGTGGGTTGGAAGAGACCTTAAAGATCACCTCATTCCAACCCCCCTGCATGGGCAGGGACAACTCCCACTAAACCAGGTTGCTACCACTCTTTGGATGAGGAATCACACAGACCCAGGGCACTGTAGGGCAGCTGTTACCATTTCTTGCTCCTTTTCCAGCAATTCTACATGCTACTCATTTCACCTACTTCTTAAATGCTTATTATTTTACATTTATTATGTACCATTAGATGACCACTTCTCAGGGCACTTCACACCTTCACCCTGTTTAATATTAAGAGCTCCACTGAATCCAGCATTTGAGGTGATCCACATGAGCTCAACCCTGGCAAAGATGCTCAGGACAGGTACAGCACAGGAGAACTTCATTACCAAAATAAAATCTGCCTTCCAGGCTTATAATTAATACTTAACTTCATATAACCAGACACAGGACACACCAGCCTCTGAGTTTATTCAGTCCCAGCTGAACATCTCCTCGTCAAGCTCAAGCATCTTGACCCAGAATTTGCACAGAAAGAACCTTGCAAGACACAGTCTTCTGTGTATTTAAACAGAAAAAGCAAACCAGAAACTCCAGAGGAAGTTCATCCTTGTCATGACAGAGGTGATGTGTAGCAGGGATATCTGACTGCAGAATGACCTTTAAAGGTCCCTTCCAACCTCACACATTCAGAATTCTAACTTTCCATCAGCCACCAACCTCTGCCAAATGTCATACCTTTCTACAAAAAGCCCTCTGTTTCTTTTCAAAGAAAACTACAGAAACACTCCAAGTAAGGAAAGAGAAGTCTCTCTGTAGCACTGCACATGCAGCTGAAAGCATTCAAGAAATCACTACAGTGAAGACCCACTTCTCTCAAAGCCACAACTTCCTTTCACTTGTCAATCAACTTGCTGATCCTCCATGAGCAGAGCTCATGTTAAGAGAAAGGAATAAAATTTTTCCCAGTCTCCACTATGAGCTCTCTACTGGGATTTTCTGCACTTAAACCTTCCTGCTGCTCTAGCTTTGGGGAGCTGCAGCTGCTTAGCTATCCTCATCCAGCCATGCTCTGCTTCCTGGCTCTCTCAGTCTACTCAAGCAATCGAGCATCATCAAGGACCCACAGTCCTGACCAGGCCCAGCTCTCCTAGGACAACTGGATTTTTTTAAAACTTCTAAAGGAGCACCTTGACATTGCCAAACAGAAGCAAACCTGCCTCCCTACCAGCTTCCATCCACCATATATGTAAAAGCAGTTTCTTTTCATTCTTTAAAAATCCTGTTATAACTTGACACTCATAACATTTAAAAAACAAAGCAATTATGTTATTGGGGCTCTATCAAAGCAAAACAACCAAGTTCCACTGGCTGAGCAGCAAGGTACCAGCAAGGTGTCATCACTCATAGTATTGACACTGAGGCCTTGGCCTGAGAGCTTCAGCTAACTGAACAGGACAAGGAAAAACCCTGAAGGTGGCATAAGACAAACCAGCTCTCATGTTAAAATAAAGGGGGTCAAGAGTGCTGTAGGGGTAGTAAAGACAAAGGAAGGATGGGCATTGATCAGACATTGGGATGGACTGCCCAGGGAAGCAGTGGAATCACCATCCCTGGAGGTGTTTAAGGAAAGGCTGGATGTGGAACTTAGTGCCACAGTCTAGCTGATGTGGTGGTGTTAAGTCATAGGTTGGACTTGATGATCTCAGGTCTTTTACAGCCTCGAAAATTCTGTGATTCTGTGAATAAGATATAAAAGCTGTGTAAGTGTAGCTGCCTGGGGATCACCACAGCTGGAGTAGAGAATAAACCAATGCTGCTGCTCTGGCAAGAATGGACCTGTCAGATGTGCTCCCCAGACAGAGGATGAGGGCAGCAAGGATGCCCCTTCCCTCATCATAAAGGCAACAGGCAGCACAGCCAGGTGGAGCAACCCAGTGTTACCACACTGGTGCCACTTTCAGGCCTGACAGCATCAGCATCTGCCTGAGAGCCTCTTAACAACCAGAGGGCCTTACTTCTATGACGTGAGTTCTCACCACTTGTAGAAAAACTACCCAGTCTCATCTCAGATCACATCAGCACTTCCTGGTTAGAGTCCACAACTCTGCACCTCTTGCAAAAAAAGACTATCATTAAAACATTTGTTTCTTATTTCTAATTTCTGGCTCTTTCATCACCCTAAACCAAACAAGTTTTAGTTGCAGAAAGTCCACAGGACCAGCAGCTGTTTTCACATGTATATACTACATTATGCTACAAAGCTTCCCTGAAATATGAATAAAGAGAAAAAAAGTGCATAAATTATTTTTTTTTTGCACACACACTTTTACTGTCCAAAATAAATCTCCACTGTAGTCAGTCTCATCAGGAAATACAAGTAGGGGTAAAGGAAAAAAAAGATATTTTTTGAAGCTGAAACAAACAGGAAGAAAACAGACAACAAACTTGAAAGAGTGCTGCAGCATCTCTGTGTTAGCACAGCTCCTCCACCAAATGTTTACAGACCAAAGACACATGTCCAAGATGCAAAGCACAACGCTGACTTTACAGTGCTGTACAGTCATTCTAGACACATCCCTTTAAAGAAAGAATACATGCAAATAGCCCTAACTGATTCATATCTGTGGAAGCCTGTTTGCTGTCTTCTCAGCTCCCAGCTCAAAATTTCCATAGGCCTGAAACCCAGAGCCTTATTTTAGTGGACATCAGCTGACTTGGCCCAGAGAGCCCTCCAGCCTTATAAAGCAGCAGAGGAAATGCTGGTTGGTGTCGTGGACAAGGTTGTAGAGCAGAGACCTGTCACCTGCAGAGCCTGAGGGGGCTGGACACACCAGCTTGTCCTTTGCTGGACTGTGTGAACTGAGAGTAATGAAGGCTGGAATGTAGAGTAGAATACAGAAATGATCTAATCCAATTCTTTTTAATTAATATTAAGCAGACAGCTGGAATACAAGCTGGAGCCTTAGCAAAGGGGTCACCTGTAAAGGCTCACAGCTTCCTAAAGCTGGCCAACGGCTTTATAAAGGTTCCCCAGCACATTATCATCCTCATCTCTGCTGATGCGCAGGGCCAAAGCTCCAGCAAATACACCCAAAAGGCACCTTTCCCCCTGGCATCGCGTGTCTGCTCTTTGCGAGGCTGTGAGAGACCCCCGAAAGCTGACGCTGCTGGACACGCCGCGCACCGGCGCTCCCGTCACTGAGGCACCGGGGGCAGG